ACACTTTACAAGCAAATCGATGGTGTCGCTATGGGTTCCTCCCTTGGCGTCCTATTTGCCAGTTTTTACCTAGGACAGCTGGAGAATGAAACATTCAAAAACAATACAAATGTGAAACCAAATATCTACGCCAGATACGTGGATGATATCTTTGTCTCCTATAACGATCCTGAACAAATCACCCAACTTCTTGGTGCCTTAAACAAATCAAAACTTAGATTTACCATTGAAATTGAAAAGGAACAACGTTTACCTTTCCTCGATGTGTTGGTCACCCGAGGCGAAGAACGATTCAAAACCTATGTCAAAGAAACGAATACAGGAATTTGTTTGAATGGACAAAGTGAATGCAGCTTAAAGACAGCACAATAAAATCATTTGTAAACCGGGCATTCACACACTCTTCCGATATTGAAAATCGCGACGCTGAATTAAAAAGAGTCACTAACCTGCTTGTAAACAATGAATATAAGACTTACTCTATTGAAAAGATTGTTAAAGGCAAATCACTACATAGCAATAACCTTCCTAGTACCAACAATCAAGATAACGACATCATCTTATATTACAGAAATCACATGTCAACTGCATACAAGGTAGATGAAGCTATTCTTAAACATATCATCAAAAAAAATGTCACACCAACCAACCCAAATAGTAAAGTTAAACTCCGAATTTATTATAACAATAAAAAGACGTCTCACCTAATACTGAAAAACAACTGCAGTCCTAGAGATAACTCTGAGTTAAAGCGTAATCACGTAATATATGAATTTAATTGCCCCTTTGACGGCTGTGCACGTCAACATGACTCATATATCGGGATTACTACTACCTCACTGACTAGAAGGCTTACGATGCATAAACAGAGTGGTGCTATCAAATCTCATTTGGACTCAACACACTCAATCACAATTAGCCGTGAAATCCTCGACAGCAACACCAAAGTAATATACCAGAACAGCAACTACACGCATCTTAAAATTGCAGAAGCAATCCTAATTGACATCAATAAACCAAAAATAAATATACAACAAAAAATGACAACCTCACTTCCAACGAAAACAAAGAAGTAATAAAAACTAGCATCGTAAATAGTGACAAAGAAGAATATGATGCTATCGATGAAGAAAAGGAGACCAAAGAAGATTATGAAATTAAGAAACCAAATTTAGGAAAATATTAGTAACATTTAATTTTTAATTAATTTTCATGTTATTTTATTACACTTGCAGTGTAATTACTTCACCAGTGTGTTTTATTACACATATGATCTTGTATTTTTGAGTTCCGCTTTTTAAATATCATTTGTAAAAATTTGCCTGTTTGGTAAAATTGCGACTCGTGCAGATGGGTCGTGGGTTGGGTCGGGTTGGGTTGAAAAGTTGCATTTTCAGGCGGGTTGGGTTGGGATGGGTTGAGTTAAGTGATGGGTTGGGTTGGGTTGGGTCAGTAAAAATGGACCCATGTCCACCTCTGATATACTGCAAGGAGCACTGATGATGATTCATTCGGAATCGAAATATGTCCTTATTTGCAGCATGAATTCGAAAAATAAGTTTATTTTGAATTTTAATAAACTAAACGTTCACCAAAAAACTTTAGTGAGAAAAATCGAAAAAACGTATTAACTAGAGATGGGAAAGAACCCGAACCCAGTTCGAAAGAACCGAACTAGAACCCATATTTTTGAAGAACCGAACTAGAACCCGAACCGTCATTATTTTTTTTTTCAAAGAACTGGAACAGAACCGAACTCAGGTTAGCTAAGAACTCGAACCGATACAGAACCCATATTTCAAAGTTCTTTCCCAATCAATTATTTAATTATTTAACTTTTAGAGTTTAAAAATGAAACGGGCCGAAAATAAATTATTTACATATATGCACATTTCCAAAGATATATTAAAGTAAAATTTTAAAATTTTATTCTATGCTTACGCACATCCCTAATCTTACTTTTAATCTTAATCGGAACATTTATTATAAACAAGATGGCCACGTGCGATAGAATAAAAAAGGAAGAGATTGAAAAACTAATGAAATGTGACGATGTTACAAAATTTGAAAAAGTAGAACCAGTTTGGACAAAAAGCAAGCATTGGCAAGGAAATTTTTGGGCTGCTAAAGTTGATGGTGAAGTTTTAAAGACGTTTGGAATATGTAAAGTGTGTAGCATGGTTTTGTCTGTACCAGTTGGAACTACTCAAACATTGAATCGCCATCATGAGTCCCACGTCAAATCGAAACTCTTAATTACACCAGGTAGCAAACAGTCGACCATAAAATCGTTTGTTCAGTCAAAGAATATTCCAGAAAAGGTTAGTAATTAGTATATAACTTATATATTGAATATTGTAAGGTATGTCTAGATCAGAGGCTAATGAACTATTTAATAGTATAGAATAAAATACTAATGCTATGCGATAGCATAGTAAGTTATAAATAAACTTATCTTATATGCGTCATGACTTTCCCTGGTTAATTTTCAATTGACGACAAATTATAAAATAAGTAATTTGACTTAGTTGATGTTAATGTGAATTACATTTTCGAATATGTATTTTTTTTATTCAGGTGCGGAAAGAAACGTCCAAAAAATGTTTGTTTATGATTGCACAAGACCTACAGCCATTTAGTGTAGTGGAGGACTCAGGCTTCAGGTCTATAGCACAACATTTTATAAACATAGGTGCACGCTATGGAGTTTTGAACATTGAAGACATTTTATATGACAGAACAACGTTTGCTGGGGCACATCTTACAGCTGAATACAATGTATGTAAGGATGTAATAAAAGATATGCTGAAAAAATTGAAATATCTTGCTATTACAACTGACCATTGGTGTGATGATATGGTAAAAAATTCATACCAAGGTTTTACTGTGCACTTCATCACATCAAAGTTTCATTTGATTGAAAAGTGCCTCGGATTGTACGAATTCCCAGAAGCCAAAAAAGCATTAGCTGTCAAAACTAAAACTAATTGGCTGCTGGCATCTTTTCTGGGAGATGAATTGTGTTTGTAACCGATAATGGTTCCAATATGAAAGCTGCTTATAGGAATGATGTACGGATAAGTTGTGCTGCTCACAACCTCAACCTAGTTGTTGAGAATGCTTTGAAGTCTGATTATGTCGGTGAATGTGTACAAATGATAAAAATCGCTAGAGAAGTTGTTGGTTATTTTAAACATTCTGGCCATAATAAGGAACTAAAGCACACTTTAAAACAGGATGTGTCTACACGCTGGAATAGCCAATATTTTATGTTGCAATCTTTGCTCAATGAATACGAGGATGTTGTGACTATCTTGGAAAATGAAAAGCGGTATGAAAAACTTGAGCATTTATCGAATTTGAATAAAGCAGACATGCAAGTTATAGTTGATTTTCTGCACGACTTTCATGAAGCGACCGTTATGCTATCTAAATCCAAGGAGCCAACAATTCACCTTGTCTGGCCTATGCTTGATCGTCTGTTGTCATCTTGCAAACGTAAAACAATGGATAGTGAAGTGGTTTGTGAAGTTAAATCAGCATTTAAAATTCCTTGAAAGAAAAATATACCTTACATCCTATACATAAAACTGCAACAGTCCTCTGTCCTGCATTTAAACATTTGTCATTTGTTACCTTAGAAGAAAAGAACTCAATATATTCTGATATTCGCATGGATATCCAACAACAAGTGTTACCAAATGAGGATGATGGTCATAATGACTGTAGTACTGAAAGTGATAATGAAATTACCAAACTAGACTCTAGAAAAGCAACAGGTTTCAATTTCATCTAATGTTTTAATTTATTATATGTTAAATAAGTAATTTTGGTTATGTAAAGAAATGTTTGTGCTTTGATTATTTTAAGGTGAGAGAAGTTCAAAAAGACCTAATTTAGATTTCAATGCCACAGATGAGACATTCCTGTCAGGACAGATGACAAGAACTGTGTCCATTTCGCAGGATGAACTAACAGGGTATCTTGACCAGATAATCGACACTGTAGATGTGCTTTCATACTGGAGAATGAATGACAAAAAGTTCCCAAAGATGGCATTACTCGCAAAAAAAATATTGGCAATACCAGCAACTAGCACGCCCAGTGAACGCATATTTTCAACATGTGGACTTTTGCTAAATGACAGACGTTGTCGAATGAATACTACAACACTTGAAATGCTTCTTTTTCTCAAATACAACATGGACATTTGAAATGTTTTGAAAGATATTTTCTCTGGCTTTCTTGCTTATTTTTGTTTTTATTACATTTTTTCATATTATTTGTTGAGCGCTTTGAGAAAACTTTTGAAAACGCTATATAAATTGTAATAATAATACTGTATTGTGTTGTATGTTGTTTTTTATCAAATTTCGTTACAAGAACTCGAACAGAACCGAACCCATATTTTGAAAGAACTAGAACCCCCCCCAAAAAAAAATTGACAAGAACCCGAACAGAACCGAACTCATATCTTCTAAGAACCCGAACCGAACAAGGACCCAAAAATGTGGGTTCTTTCCCATCTCTAATATTAACGCCAAACATTCGGTAGAATTTATAGAATATTGTATATATATATATATATATATATATAGTATTCTAATTTTAGATAGCTAATGTTGGAAGCAAAGTTTTTGGTCTTTTAATTTAATAGAAATTATTTTGAAATAAAATTCAAATGTTGAAAAACCCCATAACCACTACAGAAAAAATAGTTCGAAAATGTATACCAAATGAAGCCAGTTAAAAAAATCATAACAATAGATATTTAACAAAGTATTAGAATACACAAAACATTGAGTTTTTGTTTAAAAATGTCAAATTATAAATTGTTTTCAATGCTGGTAATTAAAAATGTATTTGCCAAAACATTCAACAATAATGAAAAAAATAGGCAAAAATGCTAAAAATTTTAAAATACTAAATTTATATATATATATATAATGAGTAGAAAAAAATTAAAAGTGAAAATTTCTCATTTTAAAGAAAGATTTAGTTCATAGACGTTTTACTTTATTATCAAGAAAGTAATAAATGTAAAACCAATAAAGAAATTTAAGTAAAAACTTTGATAATTTGAAAACGACAAAGACGATAGAAATGATTATTAAAATAAGAAAAAAGATAGTGTCGAAACATAAAAATTGATACAAAGGCAAATCTATTGCACTTGATCTCAGGTGACTGCCGCCATGTTTGATCACGTGTTCGATCCAGAAGAGAGCCGTTTGAAGAGATGTCATTGGTTGATCTTTGAATGCCTCTGACATGCGCTTTACAGAGTTTTTGTACTTTGGATTTTTTAGAATTTCCAAGACGTTTTCTAGTAAATAACAATTTTAAAAGCTGATAATAAAATTAATAATAGCTTTATTGATGTTAAGACAACGTTTTAAGATTATCGCTTACCCAATAGTTCAGTTTCCGTGAAAGTTAAGATGTCCATTTTCAAACCAAACCCACTAGCAATCATTCGTCTGCAGTTTTCAAATTGATCGCCAAAGAACGGGAAGCCCAACATTGGGACTCCGTGATAGAGAGCTTCATGTAGACCGTTGTTTCCACAGTGGGTGATGAATAGTTTGGTAGAAGGGTCGCCTAAAACATCGTTTTGAGGCAGCCAGTTCAAGATTAAAGTATTTGGTGATGTAAGAGATGTAAGCTGTTTTTTTAAATTCAAATATGAAAAATCAACTTTTTTGTTGAATTAATTATTGTGTTTGTTGTATCGAAAACTACAAACTTCTTTGTCATTTTCGTCTATGTGAAGTTTAACTAGAACAGTTTCGTTAAAAAGTCCAAAGGCTTTTAAAAACTTCTTCTTATAGCTTTTTGGCATATTTACATTTGTGCCAAAACTCATTACAATTACGCCAGGGTCTAATTTATGGGTAAAAGTTTTAAATTTTGATGTAAAAAGTTGAAACTACTAATATTAAAGTAACCTCTTTCGTTAACAATTCTCCCATTAATAAATTTTAAAATATTTTCAGGCAGGAGCTTGGCAGGCGAGCATGTGGATCCAGCTATTGAAATGTGGTTAGGAAATGCAGGAATGAAGTTATTAAAATGATGATCAATTTCATAGAAAAACAACAAGGCTTTCCTCATGAGAGCTTCCCACGAAGCAACCCCTGGTGCATATTTATGTAAAAGAGTCAAGTTTCTATTTATCGGTGACCAACTAGATGATAAGAAAATTGTTCCTACCAACGTGGCAAACCTAACAAAGAATGAATTGTTTTTGTGATTATCATTTGGATAAAAATGACGAGAAGCAAAAGATGGTAAGGCTGGGTATCTGTCGATGTTATATTAACATTTAAAAATATAATTTAGAAATAGTAGTAAGAATTTTCAACTCTAACCTAGCGTTTAATGAAAAGTACTGAGTAGACAGGCTGATAAATGGAGTTTTTAGATATATTGGCAAAATGAGAGAACACATTTGCAAAATAAACGGCTCGACAATAATTAAATCGAATTTGATATTTTTAACTTTTTTTAGAAAATTTTCATCCCTCATCATAAAATCGCATTCCTGGTTAATTAATCGCTCCAAATTTATTAATTCAGTAATGAACTCCAACGTATTGTTGAAAATTTGATTCTCTTGATACATCCTAAACTTTTCCGATGAAAACCTCGGAAAATCATCCGACTCTTCAAAGAAATGAAACTGAAAACCTTGATCACGATACTTTTTTACTAATTTCTGATCGAATTTTGATTCGAGAACAATATGAACTTCGTGGCCAGCCTGTAATAGCACAGAACCAATAACAGCTTGTTTCATAACGTGACTCGTTATTTGAGGACTAACAAAAAGAATTCTGTATGATAGCACTAAATTTAACTGCCACAAAAATCCGAAAATTAATACTAAAACCAGATTAATGTTTTTCTTCAACATCATCCTTAAATATTTTGCAAAGTCCAAATTGCAGAAATATTTAATTTCAGTAAAAATGTTCAATTTTAAATTTCAATAACAGCAAGTTTAATAAAATTTGTAAAATATATCAGTTTGCCATGCTATAAAAAATTATCGAACGGTTTTACGTAGAAGATGATGATGATGCTAGATAGATATAAAGTTTCAAGAGTTATTCATGTGGAAATTTTTAAAAATTTTTATGATAAAGTAGACATTATGACGCAGGTCACAGGTGCCGCACACGCCTAGCAAACGTTTCGCCAATTGCTCAAATTTATAAATTAAAATTATTATAATTTGAAAAATGAAATAAAATTTGTACATTTCAAAGTTATTTGATATAAGTGTGTAAATAAATAAAAAGTTATCTAAAAATTAATTAACTGAATGATTAATTTTTTGTTTTGTTCAAACCCAAGCAAAATAATAAAAAGTTTAGCCAAAGAGGTGATAGTTGCACGCGCCTAAGAAAAAATTCGCCTTAATTATATTTAAAGATTTGAGGCATTTAGATTTGACATACTGTATATGAGGTAAGAAACTGAACTTATGATCAAAAGCTAAACCTAAGAATTTTATTTTGTTTTCAAATTTTATGGGTGTTTTGTCTATTGTTAATTTTGGAAACTTTGTTTTTCTTTTTTTTGTGAATAATATAGCTACAGTTTTTGATTCAGAAAATAAAATTCCGTTTTCTATTGACCATGTACTAATTTTATTTAATAATTTATTTAATGTACTTTCAATATTTTCTATATTTTTGTTTTTATATGCAATCATGAAGTCGTCTACGTAAAGACATTTTAGCATGTCAGGTGGAATTATATTGCATAGACCGTTGATTTTCATGCAGAAAAGTGTTACAGACAGGATACTACCTTGTGCTATACCTGTTTCCATTTTTTTATATGTAGAAAAAGTTTGATTGTATTTTATTTTAAATTCTCTATTATTTATTAAGTTGGAAATGAATATTGGAAGTCGGCCTTTCAAGCCAGCATTATGCAGATCTCTGAGTATTCCATGTCTCCACGATTTATCATAGGCCTTTTCGACATCAAAGAAAATCGCTACCACCTGTTCATTACTTATGAGAGCTTCCCTTACAAATGTCTCCAAAGAAACCAAATGATCTAAAGTAGAGCGGTTCTTTTGACCTCCGCATTGGAAAGGCGATATTAATTTATTTAGTTCTAAAAAGTATGTTAACCTATTATTTGCAATTTTTTCAAAAGTTTTGCATATGGTGTTTGTTAAAGATATTGGTCTATAGTTGGATGGATCTTCTTTTGACTTACCGGGTTTTAATATTGGTATTATAATGGCTTTACCCCATTCTTCTGGTACAGAATAATTGCACCACGTGAAGTTAAAAGCGTCTAGGAGTGATATCAAAGATATTTGGGGTAAATTTTTTGGCATATTATATGTGATCTGATCGGGATCAGGTGCTGAATTAGTATTACTTGTTTCTATAGCGTTTTTTAATTCTGTGAGCGTTATATTTTCGTTATAATACTCTGTGTTATCAGAAGTAAAGTCTAGCGTGGTTTTTTCTTCTAATTTCATTACATTTGAAAATGTTTTATTAATATTTTTGATTAATGAATTCTCTTGAATTTGGTTGGCAAATATTTCGGCAATTTCTTCATTTGATTGGTAGATATTTTGTTTAATGTATATATTATTTGTATTGCTGTGTGTGTTTTTGTTGTTCATTTTGTTTACTACAGACCATATTTGCTTTGATGATGTTTTATTTGTTAATGAATTAACATATGTGTTCCAACTAGTACTTTTTTCGTTTACGGCGCCATTTCTAAACCAAAGATCTCCTGTAATACTTAATGACAGTAACAGAGATTGATAATCTATTTGTACATGTTCTTGAAAATGTACGTTCGGAGTGTTCGTCTGTTCAATGTATTTATTAAAAGAAAACTTGCACAATTGGCATAACAATACTAATGAATCGAAATGCGTCAGCTGTTACAACCAAATTTTATGAGCGTTATAATTCAGCTTCAGGCAACGCTTTATTGAACAATTGTTCCCGTAATTATCGAATCCATTTGCATTAACGAAACCACATGTACAAAGGAATGACCAAAAAATGTTTGAAGAAATTAGATAGCAGCCTCCTCTAAAAAATTTATTTAATTGAACTTGATAATTGTAAAAGCAACTATATGTTGAGTTAAAAAAAAAACAAGAGACACATCAGGTTTTCGAGACGTCTTGACTCTCTAATTGTAACGTTGTTTGCGCGATTTCATTCGGAGGCTCGAATATTTGATTTAGATATATACTCAGGAAAGAGAAAATAGTTTAGCTAAGCTAGCAAGCGTATCATCGCTAGAATGGGTGGCTCTGAGAAGAGCCGTTTGTTTTGTCTTTATGTCAGTGGTCGATTACTTTGAGCTGGTGTACTTGGTGACGGCCTTGGTGCCTTCGCTGACGGCGTGCTTGGCCAACTCGCCGGGCAACAGAAGCCTGACGGCCGTCTGGATTTCTCTGCTAGTGATGGTGGATCTCTTGTTGTAGTGGGCGAGGCGAGAAGCTTCGGCGGCGATTCGCTCAAAGATGTCGTTGACGAATGAATTCATTATCGACATGGCTTTGCCGCTGATGCCCGTGTCCGGGTGAACCTGCTTCAGCACCTTGTATATGTATATAAAGTAGCTTTCCTTTCGCCTTCTTTTGTGCTTCTTGTCCGTGCTGCGAGCAGCTTTCGCCTTGCTGGCGGCCTTCTTAGCACCCTTACTGGCAGGCTTTGGTGGCATTGTTCAAGATAGAATAAGTAAATTATAATCAGATAATATCAGATTAAACACGCAGTCGCAATGGTGGCGTTCAATTCTCGCAGACCAATATATATGAGAGAGCTAGGTGAGTGAATAGATCACGTGATTGCATACTAATGTATTTACGAGCGAGATGGTGTGCCTGTGAGAGAGCGTGCTTGTGTGCGAGAGAGTAGAGAAAGAACAAAGAGAGGTGATAGTTGCGCGCGCCTAATTTCGAATTTTCAAGATCGTATGTTCAAAATTATTATTAGTATTTGTTGAATAAAAATATGTCGATATTGACGAATTAATAGATGTTTGAATAAATGTATTAATCAATAAATAAATAAGAAGGATTAGTAGCATACTATTGCATACACAATATGTATAAAATATAATATATGTAACATAACGTTCTATACACGTTGCAAAAGTGTGTGTGTGTGTGTGTGTGTGTGTGTGTGTGTGTGTGTGTGTGTGTGTTTGTTTGTGCAGAACATAGAACTTTTGTACAACGTCTAATTATTATTATAACGACATTATAACGACAGATATTCATTTACAAGATCCCGTTGATTGGTTGTAAATGCGTCGTACCGCGTCACGTGATGTATTAAAATAACTATCCGAGAGTTACTAGCAGGGGTATATAAGCTTAGCCATTTGTCGGGAAATAGATATTTGCAGTTATTGCGGAAATTCATGTTCCTCTAATTTAGTTTATACAACATCACTCGAAAATGTCTGGAAGAGGAAAGGGCGGCAAGGTCAAAGGAAAGGCCAAGAGCAGATCGAGCAGAGCCGGATTGCAGTTTCCCGTAGGAAGAATACACAGGCTGTTGCGCAAAGGCAACTACGCCGAGAGAGTAGGAGCCGGAGCGCCCGTATATTTGGCGGCGGTCATGGAGTATTTGGCGGCAGAAGTTTTAGAGTTAGCCGGGAACGCTGCCAGAGACAACAAAAAAACCCGTATCATACCTCGCCACCTTCAGCTGGCCATAAGAAACGACGAAGAGTTAAACAAGCTCTTGGCCGGAGTCACTATCGCCCAGGGTGGCGTTCTTCCAAACATCCAAGCCGTCCTCTTGCCCAAGAAGACGGCCAAGGTCGGCGGAAGCGGTTCCGCTTCTACCGGAGGAGCCAGTCAGGCCAGCCAAGCCAAGTAGAAAAGTGCATCGACCACACCACACCACCGTAACAAAAGGCTCTTTTCAGAGCCGCCCAACTTTAACGAATGTTTGCGTGCTCTTTCGCTATTGCTTACGCCAGCTCATTCCAATGCGTTTTTATATAGGCGAATATCGATCGATTGGTTGATGGATTTTTTTTTTTTACCTGATTAAAATTTTGCCAATAACAGCGACTACTCTTAGATATTTATCAGTCTGTGCACGTTATTTAGCAATACATAACTTTCTTACGATTAACAACAAATTTTATGAGCAACAAAAAAAGTTCATTTCATCGGTCATCGTCGTGCTTCATTCACCAAATTATCAATAAAATAAAATAATACCATTTGTTCTGGACTGGATCGAAATTCCGGTTCATAAATAATAATAATATCATATGTGCAGCGCGCCCTGTGCATAGAGTCAGAGGAGAGGTGCCCGGATAAACGGCACGGCCATCAAAGCCTTGAAAATTAGATACGCCGGAGAGAGAGAGAGAGAGAAAGAGAGAGAAGGTTGCAGGCGAGATAATAATTCAAGACAGCGTGCTAGTAGCCGTTTCAATTGTGTGAAGAAGTCGAATGTGGCGAATTGACCAAGTAATGTAAAAGTGTGAGCTTTGAAAGTTAGAGACGGGTCAAGAGTAACACCTAGCAGTTTAAGACTTGCTGATGTAGACAGGTTTGGTTCAGCAATTGTGGCGTTGGATGGTGGAGTAACTTGCTTACATATTCTTTTTTGTGATTTTCGACCAACACAGCGAATGGTTTAGAAATGTGACGCACTTTCCTCGCCATACGATAACGCAACTGTCATTTGCTCCTTACATCGTATTGAAAGTCTATTTTGCCAATTTGTTTACAGAAATTGTCATTAAAAACAAAAAATGGCGATGATGATCACTTTTATTTTTATAATTAATTAGATGCAAACAAACCGATTAGTGGTGTGGCGTCAGCCAGCCAACACTGATTAAGCGAAGCCCGACATTATTGAACGCTGCGTCCAGTTTCAACACCTCATTCGACAAGGCGTACCATGCACCCTCACAAATGGCATCTGGTTAGTTATATTGCGTAATATTTAACAGACGCGCACACTCACACACAAAAGTAGAGCTCAATTGGCCAGGCGATGTTTGTCGATCGTTAAATTTGGTGGCTCTGAAAAGAGCCGTTTGTCTTGTTATAAGGTAGAGATTAAGCACGTTCGCCTCTGATTCTGCGGGCGAGCTGGATGTCTTTGGGCATGATGGTGACGCGTTTGGCGTGAATGGCGCAGAGGTTGGTGTCTTCGAAGAGGCCGACCAGGTAAGCCTCGCTTGCTTCCTGTAGAGCCATGACTGCCGAACTCTGGAAACGAAGGTCGGTCTTGAAATCTTGAGCTATCTCACGAACCAGTCTTTGAAAGGGCAGTTTTCTGATGAGCAGTTCGGTGCTTTTTTGGTAGCGCCTGATTTCTCTGAGAGCTACTGTACCTGGCCTGTAACGATGAGGTTTTTTGACGCCTCCCGTAGCCGGAGCACTTTTTCTTGCAGCCTTTGTGGCAAGCTGCTTGCGAGGTGCCTTGCCACCGGTAGATTTGCGAGCCGTCTGCTTGGTTCTTGCCATATTGTCTAGAACTTGCCTGAACGAAAGAGCAGAAAATAAGACACGAAGCAAAAACTTGATAGAGAATAGGGGGAGCGCACTGTAGACAACAATTTATACAGACACGAGATGAGCCGACCTAGTAGAGAGCGCTCCGATCACGTGACTTTTTTCACGTCCAATCACGTAAACGTAATAATGTTGCAAACAGTATTAACGTGAGTTTTGAAACTTTTAATATAATCTACAATTGCAAGAGGTTATAAATTATTTTTTGTTTGTTTGTTTATTTATTTACGTATTTGTTAGTTCATTCATTCATTCATTCATTCATTCATTCATTCGTTCGTTCGTTCGTTCATTCGTTCGTTCGTTCGTTAATCTTTCTAAGGTCAATTTTTCAAGCATTCATTTTACAATTACTTTTTTTTCTGACGTTTCTTTTTATTTTCGTTCGTTCAATCGTACCTCTTGCCACTTATTTTCCAAATGCCGTTCCAGTTTTCTGATGTGCGTTCTTTCGAAATTTTTTTAGTACTTCAATCAGCAGTTTCTCATTACTTTGGGATAGTTATTAGTAATTAAATGCAGTCCATGCAAACTGCTCTTATCTACCTACTTACATAACTGATAGAAATTTGTAGCAAACATTTACAATAGTGGCTTTACTCAATAACGGTCTCAATTAAGGTCGGACGCTCGCGTTTTGTGCAAACGAAGAGAATGAAAAATTCGACTGTGCACAAACAAACGACGAAAGGGATTTGAAAGTGAGGCTAGATGTCATCGTTTTGTTGATGGCTCTGAAAAGAGCCGTTTCTTAGTTGATGAATAGGGGGAGCGCACTGTAGACAACAATTTATACAGACACGAGATGAGCCGACCTAGTAGAGAGCGCTCCGATCACGTGACTTTTTTCACGTCCAATCACGTAAACGTAATAATGTTGCAAACAGTATTAACGTGAGTTTTGAAACTTTTAATATAATTAATCTACAATTGCAAGAAGCTATAAATTATTTTTTGTTTGTTTGTTTATTTATTTACGTATTTGTTAGTTCATTCATTCATTCATTCGTTCGTTCGTTCATTCGTTCATTCGTTCGTTAATCTTTCTAACGTCAACTTTTCAAGCATTCATTTTATAATTACTTTTCGTATTTGTTAGTTCATTCATTCATTCATTCGTTCGTTCGTTCGTTCTTTCGTTCGTTCGTTCGTTCGTTAATCTTTCTAACGTCAATTTTTCAAGCATTCATTTTATAATTACTTTTTTTTCTGACGTTTTTTTTTATTTTGCAATAGTTCGTTCGTTCAATCGTACCTCTTGCCACTTATTTTCCAAATTTGTAATACTTGGTGGCTTAAAATGTATCACAATCTTGATAATATATAGTTATAAAAATACAAACCAAATTTACACTTGACATCACATCAGTTATTAACGTTTCAGAAATATTATGGGAAACTAGCTTTAAATCTGATGAAGGCTAAAAATACAAAATTTTAAATTATTATAGAACCAAATTATTGGTTACAAAATTAAAAAATTAAAATAAGTTAATTTTTGGTATATAATAAATCATAACATAAATAAAAAACACTTCAGAAAAAATATGCCGACAACAATATCTTAATTTCAAAATTATAACTTAAAAACATTTAAATTATTCAACTGAAACTTGAAATGATTGGTTTTTATATACGTGTAAAGAAACTATATTTCTTTAATTTTGATTTTGTCGCGCTTTGCGAATTTTTTGTATAGGGTTTTTGTTGAGAGGTTAAAAGAAAACCTATAAGTAAAGTTTAATGAAATATATTTTGTGACAAACTGATTATAATTTGTGAAATAATAAACTTTAAATGTCGTTTCTTTGTTTTCAGGTGAGTTTTTTTTCTCCAAAAATGATTTTTTTTAACATTTAACAAAATAAAACCTTTGTTTTCAGAAGCAACACATTTGTTTGTTTAAATCCTAAATTATAATCAAAACCCTTATAAAACGACATTTCCGTTTATTGAGAAACCTAAATGAATTATAAAACGGACCAGCTACGATTTGAATTTGCAGTGTTGCCAGCGAGTGATGGAAAGTCAAATGTATATTGTGTAACCTCCATAACGACAAGAGATGAAAAAGTGTTTGCTATTCCAGAAGAATTACAGTCTGCTAGTCTTCATAAAGAGTTGATAAAGACAGCTGCGTACAATAAAATAAAAAATAGTTTAAAAAAAAGACATCAGACGAGAAAAATTTGGATTACAATGACAAATGAACTAAGTAACGTGTACATAGATGAAGATGGTAATCTACAATTTGGAGATCAATATCTCGAAGAAATTGAACGAAAGCAAGCATCTGGTAATTTAGGAAAAAATACAGATTCATTGGAAAAATTATTTACAAAATTTATTGAAAGCTCACAAGATTTAAAAAACAGAACCTGAAATATATTGCAGAAAAGTTTATAATTGAAAGATTTACAAGTAAAAATATTAACCCAAGCCAGTGGATTGATGTTTTTGAAAAAGAATGTTTACGTTTTGATATTACGGAAGATGAGAAAAAAATTGAGATACTCAAACTATTCATGGACAAAAGTTGCGCTGATTGGTATAGTTCTATGATTATAAAATTAACACTAAACTCAGAGTGGTCTATTTGGAAAAATAAATTCTGTGAATCATTTGCAAATTCAGGCTGGAACCAAGTGACGTATGCGTTGTTATTTAAGTACAAGGATGGTTCATTGGTGGATTATGCTATAAAAAAAGAAAAACTTTTACTGGACATGAGAACATCAATAGATACAGGTACTCTAGTGGATCTAATTGCAGCTGGATTGCCAGACTTTGTTCTAGAAATGATAAATGGACAATCAATGGAAGATACAGTAGACTTATTCAATGAAGTAAGAAAGTATGAACATTTCGAAACCCTTATATACGTAACACTGACCTTGTCAAATATCGTTGGAAAAGCATCTTTTTGAAGAAAAATTTTCAAACCAACTTTATGAAAACTTTCCGGTGTAAAATATTTGCTACAAATTAAAATCTTTTTTTTTCATCGTAATTGTCAATGTATTTTTTAATGAGGTTTTCCCATTGCATTCTCTTTATATCATTCTTTGGCAGTCTGAATTTAAATTTAACTTAATTAATATCAGCACAAATTATTTATACAACTTTGAGTTAACATTATTTAATTATTTAATGCATTTATCATGTTACTAATATTATTTATTACTATTATACTACATTATTATGAATAATTGTTTGCTGATTATTATAATTATATTGTATAGTGTTATACTTTATAGCTATATTGCAGTGTTGTATAGTATAGTCTAAATTAAATTAACCTATGTAAAGTAACATTTTCATCTAAATAAGATGAGTGAAATTTTGTAATGGAACACACAGTCATTTTGATTTGGTTGAGAACCTGTGTCTGTCAAATCAAATACTAAGCCAATATTTTCTAATTAAAATGTATTATTGTTTTTAATATTATTTTGACAAGTTAAGAATTAAGATTTTCTAATAGTTTAATGTAATCTCAATGTCATGTCATGTGTACTTAACTACTTATGTATGTGTATGTGTATCTGTATATTATATGTATGTAGGTAGGAAGTTAAAATGTATAAAACGAAATGTATAAATGCAGAAAATTATTTATACTAATCCCTTTTCTTTTTTAAATGTACTAAATATAGTATATAATATATTAAATGCAATACAAAATCGAATTTAAAACAGAAAACGAGACAAAAACTTCGCAAGCGATAATTTCAGATCAGACGATTAATCAAAGACGCTGAAAAAGACAACGACGATGTTTGATCCATAGAACAAAATAACAATTTTTGCAATAAATTAATTTTTATGCCATATCCATTATATCCATGTTCCAACATTGCTAAATTAAATATTTATTTAAAGAATTTTGATTGGAAACTTATTTTAAACTTTCCTGACACAGATATAGCCTTTGAACTTTTTACAAATGTTTTCAAAGAAGCTTTATTTAGAAATGGTGATAGACATGTTGTTAACAATTATCGTCCTATTTCTATTATATTTAGTTTGTCAAAGGTTATTGAAAAAACTGTTCACAAAGTTTCTAAATTTTTATAATGTATTTTGTTATTATCAATATGATTTTCGTTCAAAATTAAGTACTGAATGTGCAATGAGTGATAAAATTAATTTGGTGGTTTCTCTTGCTTTAGAGTCTAAGAAATTTTGCATTAGCGTTTTCATTGATTGATATCTGTAAAGCCTTTGATTCATTAGATCGCAATATTCTATTATACAAATTGTATTTTTATGGTATAAGAGGTAAGGCTTTCACTTGGTTTGAATCTTATTTCAAAGATCGTTATCAGTATGTCTGCTTTAATAACTCCATTTCTCAACTGTCTCCTATTGCTTCTGGTGTTCCGCAAGGTTCAGTTCTAGGTCCAATGTTTTCTAACATTTTTATCAATGATTTTATAAATGCATCTAATGTACTGAAGTTTATACTTTTTGCAGATGATACTACTCTTCTCTATTCTCATTCTCATTTTGATTTATTGGTTTCTACTATTAACAAAAAAAACTATAATGAACGAATTATTTCTTGTTTATAATTGGGTGGCTTCTAATAACTTAAGGATTAATATTGAAAAAACATTATTTATATTTTGGCCCTAAAATTAAAACTGATTTGTATTATCCTATTTTATGCTA